AGCTAGAACTACGGTAACTTCTGGCAATGTCAGACTAGCACATGAGTGGCTCAAAAACAGATCAATCATCCATCCAATCATTATCTTCCAGTGGGTACAGCGACCAGACGTACAAATGCAGGATATGACATTCACTAAACTTCCTCGTTCCCTGCATGTGCAGCAACCAATCAGGGAGTAGCAAAGAGGTCACGGGGACACAAGCTGATTAAAACAGGAAGGCAAAGACACTCCAAAACAACAGAAACACTAGCCTGGTCGTACCACACCATAGTACAATTACATTTCGTACTAAGGTCTGGAGGTGCTCCATTGACAGGTGGGAGGGGTTAACTCCTTTTGCAGATTGAAACAATTGGATCTGAGTTTACCCTGACGTATGTAGTGCGACCGAGTCTATTGTTAGCATTTAGCCTTTAGCCTAGCCATCTCCTTTGCCGCTAACGGAGCCCGTGGGGAGTAGCGCCACAATTTTTTCCAGCGATTACATTTGCTAAACATTCCTCTTGCTCCAGCTTCAATTTCTTGATAGATCCAGACCGGATTACTTTACTATCGCAGTTTTCGCCATTGCCAAACTACAACCTGCCTGTTTGGCGCAAACTCTTGACATCACTCACAACTAACTACAACACCCGCCTCCCATCCTCGCTGATTTGTCGGTCGAAATTCAACCGATTGTAATCGCAAACACGGGGACCAGACCCAGACGTTACATGCAGTGAAATGATGATTGAGCGGAGTGTACAGATGGCTAAGGCCAGGCTACAGAAACACCATCGGCGGTGGGAACGTACCCTTTGAGTTTGAAATGGTCCAAGCAAAGACTCAGCTACTCGCTCATTTCCATCCATGGTCCCTGGCAGAGGGACCATGGATGTAAGTAAGTAAAAGCTGGTTTAGTGACTTTTTAGCATTGGAAATACAGGTAAAATGTAGCACCCTAAACCACAAAGAGACACAATATTTATGACACCGGTTGGAACAAGTTTGCACGTTCTCCCCGTGTATGTGTAGGTGTCCTCTGGTTTCCCCTACCACTAAAAACATGCACAATAGGTATGAATGTAGTGAGTGAATGGTGTTTGGTCGGAGGCTTTGATGGACCAGTGTGTTCGGCGTCTCGCTTCTCTCATCATCGTGTGGAGAGAAAACTAGCTGAACTCTGAACAGTTGTGTAAAGCGCTTTGGGTGACTTTGGCCTGTTAAATGTGCTATATAAATAAACATTATTTACTTACTTACTGAGCCGATCTGATTGAAAGGACTGTGTCTCTCAGCTTCAGGATCTCTTAATCGTTGACCCTTTCTGAATATGTCATCTGCCTGTACCGACTATGCGCTAAACCTGTCTCAAATGCTCACTAAACCGATTCAAAATGTTGTATTTAGAAACTTTCCATGTGCCTTCCACTTGTAGTCTGCCTTCCGACATTCTTGGACCTGCCCCAGACAGACGACCGAAGCGGGAGGTCCACGCGAGCGAATCTGAGTATGCGAGAATGTGACAGTGGCAGCCGCTGCCAGAAGAATTGTATTTTCTGCGACACGCTTCGCAAGACAGACAAGTGCCGGAGCGTCAGGTGCTGATTCAAATTTAATGTCCTCATATGTCAGAGCCGGAGAACGCATCACACGCTTCACAGGACCAAAACCAAACACGCAGACCAAGAGAACAGGGAGTAATGGAGCGAAAAACAGCTCTAAACATGTGGTTAAACGTGTTGGTCAGGTCGAAGTTATGCATATACAATCACTGGATTACAAGTACAGTCCAAATTTACAGATCTATTGGACAGCAGGAGAATGTGGACTCGGAGAGATTTGCATCCAGATGTCACGGTTTCATTTTTAGTTTGACTTCCTGTCTCATTCCCCTGTGTTTATTGTCTGTCCCGCTCTGATTCTGATGTGTTTCACCTGTGTCTGTGTGTGTCTGTATGTACCTGTGTCTCTGTCTATATGTACCTGTGTCTCTCTGTGTCTATATGTACCTGTGTATCTCTGTGTCTATATGTACCTGTGTATCTCTGTGTCTATATGTACCTGTGTATCTCTGTGTCTATATGTACCTGTGTCTCTCTGTGTCTATATGTACCTGTGTATCTCTGTGTCTATATGTACCTGTGTCTCTCTGTGTCTATATGTACCTGTGTCTCTCTGTGTCTATATGTACCTGTGTATCTCTGTGTCTATATGTACCTGTGTATCTCTGTGTCTATATGTACCTGTGTATCTCTGTGTCTATTTGTACCTGTGTCTCTCTGTGTCTATATGTACCTGTGTCTCTCTGTGTCTATATGTACCTGTGTCTCTGTCTATATGTACCTGTGTCTCTCTGTGTCTATATGTACCTGTGTCTCTGTCTATATGTACCTGTGTCTCTCTGTGTCTATATGTACCTGAGCTCCTCTCCCCTTGTTGCTGGTCCATTATATTGTCTTTGTTCCTGGATCCTGTGTTCTGTTAGTTTTATTGTTGTTTGTTTTTCACCTGGACTTTAGTTTTATAATTATTATTAAAGCATTATTTTATGGCATTCCTGCATTTTGGGTCCTTCATCTCACCAAACATGACCCCAGAACAACTATCTTAGACTCTATGAGGAGTCAGTGTTACAGATTTCTGCGGCTAAAATCTCGGACAGTCTTCTTGAAAATGTGAGACAGACTTCTACTCTGACAAAAGTTCAAATCCAGGTTCTGTTTAACTGTGCATAAAGGATTGTGTCTTGACTTTTGCATAATAATAATGTATACATTTTATTTAAAAGCGCCCAAGGACACTGTACAGGACATAACAAAACCATTGAATGTCAGAGAGGCTGAGTGGTTAGCACTCTCGCCTCTCAGCAAGAAGGTTCTGGGTTCGAATCCCGGTCGGAACAGGGCCTTTCTGAGTGGAGTTTGCATGTTCTCCCTGTGTCTGCGTAGGTTTCCTCCGGGTACTCCCGTTTCCCCTACCACTAAAAACATGCGCAATAGTTCAGGGTGAATGAGTGTGTGTTTGTGAGTGTGAATGTGGGACAACGTCATGTGTTCATTAACATGTACTGTCCCAACCAAACAAACAGTAATGAAAAATAAAATGTACTGTGATTATTCGTGTTTTGAATGCCTTTTGTGATTCATAGACTGTATATATTAACAGACGTAGTCCCGCCTATCTCCGCCGTTCTAACTAATGGGCCAAAAATTGGGTTTTCATGGAGTGAAATGTGAAAAAACGTATCTGCGCATGCATCAGCCGGCACGAGCTCCATTCATTTAAACGAGTGACTTCAAAAATTCACACCGAGTAAACTCGACTGGTCCAAAAAAATCCACCCCCCTCAGCATTGACACACATGTGGAACGAAGCTTTGGGCCAAGAGCCAACTTTTGGACCATCCTGTAAAGACGTTTTCGAGAGGTAAGAAGATGCTACATGTTAGCATTGGCTAATTCCCATTCCGGGTCCACCCCCATCGGCCCGGGGTGGTATTGCAAGCATGTCAGCGCACATCATTTTGGCCACTTTTGAGCCGGGACCCGCCCCCACTGGAGTGATTGTCTTGTTTTGTTTATGCACTTTGATCTTCCTTGTGTATGAACTGTGATACACCAATAAACTTGCCTTGTCTGACCTTGCCTTACAATGACGTCATACAACTACAGAACTGAAACAGAAGATTTTAGCGAGAAGGGTTAGAAGATACATGTTTGTGACAGAATTTGCAACGCCAAGTTTGCATAGTCCGTCTCTTTGAATGTTAAACATAAAAGCAGATGACAAAGTCTGGGGTTGTGTCTTTAATTAAAACAGAAGTTTTAATGTTGAGTGTAAACAGCACGAACAAAGATGTTACAGAATGCATGTGATGTTATACAGGAAGAATCATAGACCGTCCAATCAGCATCGCAGCCAGTAGCTAGCCTTGAGAAAACCAAAACAAGCTGTGGAAAAGTACTGCCTCGTGCATATTGTTAGATGATGAGTTAGAACTTTAACCACAGTTGCTTCAAAGTGTCATGAAATGTCCAAGCTACATTTACCATTATTTTGACTTTCAAACCAGACCAAAAATATAGAAATTTTTAAATACAGACACAGGCTATGCAAATTGGAATAGGCTCAATATTACACATACACCAACAACTTCTCTCGCACTTGTTGAAGCAAAATAATTCACGACTGCGACTGCTTTAAACCAGCTGGCACGCAAATGTCACCTTAGCCTGGGCAGTATTTTAACAGTGTCTCTGCTATTACCTTATGCGTTGTAAATCAGGAGCTTCGTACCCTCCTCACCTTCCTTGATGACGGATGAGCACATTGGGGCTGTTATGATCACTCGTGACCCCAGCACTAACCCACAGTCGCACATTTAGCTTGTACCTGCCGACGGGCTAATGGCTCCACTGAGTGATGCGCTGGCAGGAGGCGAGGCTATCTCCTAACTCATCTCAATCATAGCAGGGTGAGCTGTGTCTTTGGCGAGCAGCGCTAACTGTAGCGTGACGAGAATCGGCAAAGGCGGACTCTGGACAATGCTTTCAGATGGTGGGAGTCTGTCGGAGGAGTGTAGGTTCGATTCCCACGTCTCACAGTGCAAGAAGAATGCGAGCGTGGACACAGAATGATTTGAGATTAATTAAAAGTTGAGCTATCGTTGTCATTGGCACAGAGAGAAATGAAATCAGGAGTAGAGGAAGACCGAGTAGGGCTGGTGGAAACGGGGCTTTTTGACGACCAATCAAGAAGAAGAAGAAGGTCCTTTATTTGTCCCACAATGGGGAAATGTCAGTTTTATGCGTACACATACACATATACACATCAAGGCAAGCAGCGAACATCCCTTCCGTGCTCCTTATAGGCAAAGTGGGTTAAGTGTCTTGCCTAAGGACACAACGACAGCAGACATCAGTGGCAGTACACTCGGCGCTTAAAGCCTCACGTCACCAGAGGAGCCACAGCGAGGCCATCATCTCTTCGTGTCATTTCTCCCGTCAGCCGTGCTAATGTCATGGTCCAGGCCTCTGTATGACAAGATCCTATTCTCCAGCTGGTCCCCGGCTCCTTCACACATGGTCAGAGCCACGAATGCCCTTCGCTTGGCTTCAAAATGACCATTCCGCTCGACCGCCGCCATCTCCTGCACCACTCTACGATGCAACTGCTACATTTCGCTTCCTCAGTTTCAATGCTTTTCAGGAGATAAACCCGGGAAGAGGCTCAGGTGGACGGTGCACAAAAGGGTTATGGCGGTCTGGTCTGCTCTGATTGTGTCTAAAGGGGTCTGCGACGGTCCAAAAGAGAACGTAGAGACAGTGACAAGAGGTGAGGAGTGTTGAATGTGTTGTGGGGATTGTAAGGAGACAGATTTTAGCACGTTTTGAAGAGGTGTCATCCAGACCGTAAATAAACCGAGAAAGTGCCACTTAGAGAAGCACTTTGTCGACTCGTGTGTTGACACAATGTGATGGCTGAGTTTAAGTTAATACAAGACGAAAGGTCGGACTGGAGAAGGATCAACGGGAACGGACTGTGCAGCTTTCGAAATCTCAAAACTGAATGAAAATTGTTAAATGAAAGAAAAGGGCCATAAACAACTCATACACTCATTGGTAAAAAGCAAGAATGAATGACTGATTCTCTGATCTGTGTTGGTGAATCATCAGCGACTGTACTTCCTTTGTAGGCTTAGAGTATTTGGAGTGAGCCAAAACGTTATGTTGACTTTCTACAGAGCGAGTATTGAATCTATATTGAGATACGGAATAGTGAGCTGGTTTGGTAACCTCACAGTGAAATACAAATCACAGATCCAGAGACTGCAAAAACTAGCCGGGAAGATCATGGGAGTGTCTCTGTCCACTCTAATCTCACCTCAGACTATTTTTGAGCAGTCAGTGATTAGACAGGCCAAGAACATCATCAGAGACTCCACTCATGTTCTCTACTCACATTACGAACTGCTGCATTCTGGGAGGAGGTACAGGATCCCACTGTGCAAAAGCAATAGGTTTAAGAACTCTTTTGTACCTCAGTCCATACAGCTGCTGAATAACATCAGGTGATTGTGCATTAGTGTCAACGAATTTTATGCGTGTATTGTCTGTTTTGTGTGTACTGCCTAATTATTTTTTTTTTTTATCTCTGTATCTTTGGGTGATACAAGACACATTTCTCTCTTGGGAGACGTCGTAATAAATGAATCTGAATCTGAATCAATTTTGTTTCCCCCGAAATAACTACAGTTGTGATTTAGAGCTGTGCAAAAATACATTGAATAGAAATGAACTATAACATGGTTTTAAAGCTTGAAAAGTTGCTTTGTGTATAGCCCTAAATCACAACAGCCGTCGTCATAGAGAAAATGCATAAATAATAATAAGCATGCAGCAGTATACTGTGCATAAGTGTTAAGATATGTCCCTAAAATATGTCCCTTGGATCATCGCAGTCCTTAGAACAGTGGTAAAAAAAGTTTTTAAAAACTTGGGGAGGCCCATATTGAGAGAAGGTCCAGCTCCCATTGACAGGCAGGATGTAGATCTAAGACTCAGACTGTAGAACGAGGACTGAGGCTGTAGAAGGCTGTGCGGTGCAGGACCCAGAGACTTGATTGGAAAGTCTCTATTATTAGCTTAAAACGATCTTATGTTGGATTTGGGGCATGCCTTTTGGAGATGTCTAGCATATTCACACCAGAGCCTGAGTTCTCTTCTGTATAATTGGATTTCAGAAAGATCAAAACAACCTTTGTCTGGAATGCAAACAACATCAAACTGGCTTTAACCGAGCTGAAGCCATTCTCCTCTCTCTCCACTCTTTTCAATACAACAATATTTTCCGTCTCGCTGGAGGACGATCCACCTGTAGATCACAGCTTTAGAGATGGTTGTCACGCTCCTCGTTGTGGGCTGAGTGCAGAGCCAGATAAGCGCGCTCCAGTGGCTCCGTGCTCTTCAAGTGATCAGGGGCCTCCTCGAGAGCCCTCACCCGCCATCAATCACAGCATCCTGGACCACTGCCTGCTCACTCTCTCAGTCTGCTGCTTCACACGCTGCAGATACAATGGCTGAGAAAGGAGAAATATCTGTCTGTAGTACGGGAGCGAATGGTTACTTACTCAACAATTAATCCATGGATATTCTTTGATGAGTTTGTGATTAATTTATTTGTTCAATAAAGTAAAAGAAGAAATAAAATGTTAGTTATTTTCCATATCATGTAGCATAAAGTGTCATATCATCCACACACGCAGAGAGAATGCACGGTCCCAACCAAACGCATTCAGAATTTCACTCTGAACCAGAGCAGAGAACATGGTCCAAACCAAGCAGACTCTGCAGTCATCACTACCGACTGCACCACCTGCTGCTGGGACCTAAAGTACTTTATTACTATTGTTAGTAACTTTTAGAATTATGTATTTATTTGTTCACTCTGCCGCGATCTAACCAATCAGATAGCAGTGTTCTGACCAATCAGAGCTGCTGATCAGAGCAGGAAGAAAACGAGCAGAGTTTGTTGTATTAAAAAGTGGAATTGAAGAAGATTGAAGGATTTAAGAATAAAAAAAGTTCATGATGACAAGGGACACTAAGATCCCCACAAAATCCGACCTTTATGAAAGCTGTAGGTTCTCTGTCAGGTTCTCTGTCAGCTGAGGTCGAGCTGTTTTAGTTTACATTGAGTTCTATGGGACTTTTTCTGGGTAGCCCATGTGAATTTAGTCTGCAGTATCACTGGCGCCCCCTGTGGCCATGGGTAGGACAGCGATCAGCTATTTATACCCTATCCATTTATTATTATAGATGCATGGTTTTTGTGTTACATAGACTCTGTGTGTGTCTAAATTAAAGATTACATTTTGGCTTTGGTTTCGGTCTCAAGGCTCTCCACTGGTTCCAGGATCTGTTTGATTTGTGCCTCCAGTCAAAGACGCGTCACACAACAACACCTTTTGATTCCACTGCCATTTGGGTCACGGTAAAAATAATTATAGCCAACATTTGTAACATTGGTGCAGTAAATGTCAGACGTGCTCCGACCCCCAGGCTTTTACAGGCCAAATGAATAGTTTTGTAAAGGTCGACGAGATTGTTTAATCTCTCTTAGCGTAGTAGTTTAGAGCCACTTCAAATCCACTCATAGACACGAGTCTGTGGGAGAGCACTGTAAACATGTGTGGAACTGTTCAAGGACGAGATCTCAGGGAATCTCGTTGACGCAATTGATTCTAAAGAGACTGTGAATAATAATAAATAATAATTATAGAGGTCTAGAGGTTCTGCTTGGTTTAAAACATTTCCTTTTGCTGTTTCCGTTTGCTTATATTTAAACGTGTTCGGTTATTTTGTTTTTTCACTGTTTGAGTTGAAGTTTATTCCATTTAAAGCCAGTGTAAATGTGTCTGTTTAACCCTTTAACATTTACTTCTTTTAACACATGTTTTTTACCAAATGGGTGAGTTGCAGCTTCCCAAAGAGGTATATTTCAATTCCAAGCTTAAAGTAGATATAGGTGATCTACTAAAACCATTACAGGGTTAAAAGAGACAAAATATCCGGGATCAACACAGATTTTGACTTTGCTGACACTCTTTATGATGAAGATTAATATAAAAGAGATAAAGAGATCCTTTATTCATCCCACAATGGAAAAATTTCAGTATTGCATTAACAAGTTACAGGACAGTAGGAATGAGAAGCACACAAGATTTTGTTTTCCTCCATGTTTGAGTAACTTATATTATTGTGAAGGGGCAGAGCACAGAGCAATACAGGCAGCCCTGTATACATAAGGGCTCGTTTCTGATATAATATTTTTTTAGATCAGGGGTGTCCAAACATTTTAGTTTAGCCACTATTTAGCCACTATAGTTCACTCGACTCATTCAGGGGCCGTCAGGGATTGGAAACTTGTTGTGACTGGATCTGATGTTCTGGGTGTCTTTAGGCAAGATACTTTACCCACATAGCCTGGAATGAGTCTGGTGTGTGTGTGAATGTTTGGTGGTGGTGGTGGTGGGAGGGGCCGATGGCATGGACTGGTTGCCTCGCTTCTGTCAGTGTGCCCCAGGGCAGCTGTGGCAGTTGTAGTTTATCACCTGCGTGTATAGAGTGAGTGAATAATCCCAAGTGAAGTGTTTTTGAGTGTCCAAAAAGCACTGTATAAAACCAACAAATGTGTATTTTAAGTCTTGGGAATGGAAGCATCATGGTGTAGATTTTATTTCTGTACGTTGGTTTTATTTTGACACCAGTTTTCTGTGGTTTGGATTTGGTTTTACTTCCTGTCTTGTTTTTCTGTGTTAATTGTTTGCCCCGCCCTGATGTGTTGCTGGTTTATTGCATTGTCTTTGTTCCTGGTTCCTGTGTGTTACCATTATCTTTTGCTATTCCTGCATTGTGGCTCCTTCATCTCTAACCACAAGACACAAATGAAAACTAAAAAAGTTTGCCACAATAAGACAAAGTCATAAAAACATCTAAGAGCTCCATAGATCACTCCGTAGCAACAGTGACCTTAACATTATTGAAAAGTGAATTTGCATTAAAGGTTGCACCGGCGTCAAAACTTTCTTTATTAGAGAATGTAATCTGGTTTTGGTTTTGGCACAGACTCTCAGAGGCCGCCACCGTCTGCGGAGCCAGAGTGAAAGTGACTCAGAGATCAGACTCTATCAATAACACAGACAGTGAATGGACAGATCTTTGGCTCCTGGTGTCCACTCAATCTGTTTGTGCTGTAACTTTGCCTACAGGAGCGACCGGGGCCAAAGCCAACGGCCTGTGTCTGCATCACCTCCTCCACCGGCCCCTGGGAACAGCACCAGGAGGAGAAAGGAGACGAGGAGGAGAAATGACACCAGGAAGAGAACTGACACCAGGAGGAGAAACCACACCAGGAGGAGAAAGGAGACCAGGAGGAGAAACAAAACCAGGAGGAGAAACCACACCAGGAGGAGAAAGGAGACCAGGAGGAGAAACGAGACCAGGAGGAGAAATGGGACCAGGAGGAGAAAAGAGACAAGGAGGAGAAACGAGACCAGGAGGAGAAATGACAGCAGGAGGAGAAACGACAGCAGGAGGAGAAATGACAGCAGGAGGAGAAATGACAGCAGGAGGAGAAACGACAGCAGGAGGAGAAATGACAGCAGGAGGAGAAACGAGACCAGGAGGAGAAATGAGACCAGTAGCCGAGCATTTTCTATTGTTCTCATACATTAAACCGGATTTGACCAGAATTTATCAGAAAACTGAAATTTCTTTGGACTCCCAGAAATTCCATTCAAATAAATGGAATTCTAAAAAAAAATCCTGCTTTTACCGAAATTAATTAATCCATATCTTTTTGTGTTTTTATCTTTTATAGAAGCTAAAACTGGCGAATATCACTCAAATACAGCAACACTAAATACTGACTGAAGCAAGTAAACAGTGAGTTGCTATGGTAACTTGCACAAGAAATCAAGAATGCTCATTCTTGGATGGAGATAATTTCATAACCATACTTACATGTGATTAAACAACATATAGAAACAGAAAACGTCACAAAGTTATGAAAACAAAAAGCTGCAGTCTCATGGTCTTGCTGTGAGTTATAAAATAAAAATAAATATTGTGGTCTTTGTCATCAATGTTACTTAACCAGACTTGGACAAAGAATGTATTTATGAAACAAAAAATGTAGGTACTGCAACTTTAAGTAATAATGTATAATGTTTTTCTTTGTGCAGTATCATAAAGTGATATTAATTTCTGAGCCACTTATCCCTGAAAACTATGGCTTCTCTCTCTTCTGGCTCTTTAGAGTTTTGTGTGGAGTCACTGGCCTCGTCCTGTCGTCTCCCATCTCCATCACCGCTCTGCAGCACTGAGGCCTTTCTCCGACTGTGATAATAACACGGGCAGATGCAGGCTGTCGTGGCCGCGGGCGCCCCTGAGGCAGAGGACTTTACACTTTTAGCGCTGAGGACGGACCATTGGGAGTAATAGACATGTCCTACCGCTGTCCTCAGTCTGGAGTGTCACTGTGAGCTTATATGGGGTCGTCCTGGAGGAAACTTTAAATACAAACATTATTTTATACCATTTATGGACAGTGGCCCTCTCCCTGTGGACTAATGCTGTATTCTTATTATTGCATTTCCGATGTTTGTGTTAGAACTGATTCTCTGATCTAATCACTTGTCAATTTTCCAACAAAAGATCAGATTTAGGACTATAAAAAAATATTAGAATTGAATTAACCAGTCAACAATAACAAAAAAAGCATAGGAATAAGAGAAATGGAAAGCCGAAACCCTATTAAATACTGTATACATTTGTACCACGATAACTCATATGGTCGATGGTACTTGTTAGAACATTCTCTCAAACTGGTACATACCATACTGGACCATGTACCGATCCACTTGTGCCATTTAAGATAAGATAAGCTTTATGGATCTCACAATGAAGACATGTGACTCAGTCCATAAACTTAAGGACTGATTAGTCACCCATTGTTTTAAAAAAAAACAAGGGGGGTGACAGTGGCCCAGTTGGTAGAGCATTGATCTCTGGACCTAATGGTCATGGGTTTGATCCCACCACGGCCCATGTCACCTGCTCCCACTTCGGTTGTTGTGCCCCGGGCAAGACACTTAACCCCACTTTGCCTGAAGTCCCCGCTGAAAGATCAAGGCCATATCTTCATTGAAGGAACAGCCATCTTCCTGTGGACCCACCACCTGTATGAGGATCAGTCAGGGACTGGTGCTGTGTGAATTGGGTGGCAGCTCTGATTGCCACCCCCCCGACCCAGAAATGGAAAATAAAGGGATGAAATTGAATGAATGAATGAATGAATGAATAAATAAGCAATCATTGGCACAAGACTGACCTAGTTTATAGAAGCAGAGGTAGAGATTAAAATGACATAGATGCAGACAATTTTAATCTGTCCATCATGTCAATACACTGTACGTCATTTCATGTTTTATGTTCTATTAATCTTTTAGCCACACATATTTTTTGTTGTCTATTTTTAGTATTTATTGCGGTCCTTTTTAGCCTCACATTTCAAGTCTTTACATTTAATTGTATTGTTTTTAGTATCCCCAGTGTATCCTCTGGAGAGGCCCTCTGCCCTGGGAGCAGGCTGTGGCTGTAGGGGTCTGGCTCCTGGACCTGGTGAAACTCTGGGGTCTCCACTCTGATTGATTGAAGAAACCTGAATCTTTTACAGACCCCAGGAACCATTGTGACTGTGTATGTCAGGAGCTGATAGGTAATTGAATACAAGAGAAAGAAAAAAAGAAAAAAAAACCCGCTTTAATATTGCTGCGATGGTGTCTGCTCTGGTTCGTCCCGGATCCACGGCCTGTCTGCTCCGGGCTGGACCTTAGATCACCGCTTTAATGTACCTGTGCTATATATCAGACTGTGAAGTTCCTCCTGCGCAGAGGCCCTTGAAGGCATCATCGACCACCTCCATGTCCCAGCTTGTCTCTCTGTCCCCCTGGATACAGCCGAGCAGCGAGGGCTGCAAACACCTTCATCCATCTGTCTGGCACTTATACAACATCCTAAGGAGCCAGGGCCTTTAGCGGCAGAATAGGTGGCTTTGGTTCTCTACAGCCATAACCGTGTGTAGTTGTACTCATGTGTGGTGTAGCCTGCATTTCACCCGTGCTTCTAAAATATGTGTTCATCAAGCTTCAATTCATTGGATAGACGTTAGAATCACAAAAAAGATTGAGAAAGACATTATCGCTTTGGTCAAGACCAAGTTAAAGAAGAAAATACACTTTATTTTTGTCCCTCCAGAATTATAATGAGACTGCTTACTATTTTCTTTCATCTTTTAGAATATGAAATCAAATCTTCAGTAGAAAATACTGAACAGGTATCATGGATAAAACAAACAAAGTCATTACAGTGTCCCCTATCCTTATGCTACCACCAGACTCATATTAGGTCATGTGGGTCAGGTTACTTGCCAGTTTGTTAGATCTCCCATCACAGTATTAACCAGTCCCTGCCCTACTGAGCTTCAGCGGTCTGATGGAATCTGGCTTTCACATGCAGGTATGGCCACATGTTTGATAGGTCTCCCATCACGGTATTAACCAGACCCTGCACGACTGAGCTTCAGAGGTCTGATGGGATCTGGCTTTCACATGTAGGTATGGCCACATGTTTGATAGGTCTCCCATCACAGTACTGACCAGGTCTGACAGAATGTCTGACAGAATGTTTTAAAAGTAGTCCATGTTGCCCGACATATGAACAGCTCCAACTATTCAAACCTCAAAACCCCAAACTCAAAAACCTCAAAGATCAAATATTCCAAAAGTGCTGAGAGTTCAGACACTGTATGAGTCGATGTTATGGATTACATGAATAGAAAAGCATTAACGTTTTATGGCACCCAAGTCTGAATGTCATCTCATTTTTCACCGGTCTTCAAAAATAGTCATAAGTCTCTCCTTAAAAATCCAATTACCCGCCCTCTCCCTGCGATTTAAGACACACAGAATGTTCCTCTATTGGTGGCATTACTCAGGAAACTTGGCAATTTCGACCTGACTGAGAAATACGAGATTAAAGAGGTGTTTTCACTCCAAAGTGCAAGTACGAGTGCAATCAATTACATGACACAGAACGGAGAAGGGGACGAGGTGCGTGACAAGTTGTGTAAAAATGGTTTTAGTTGCAGGGTATTACCAACAGCTATTGTGAGTGTTTTGGCTCCATGACTCCAGGCCACGATACAGAACATTAAGGTGGAAGCGCGAAAGATTCAGACACAGCTGCTCTTACCAGTCTGTGATGTTGTCTCTGTAGTGCCGCTGTATTGTTGTATTTATTTCTCTGATTTCTGTGTACTATGTGTCTGTGGAAATAGATTTATCTCAGGGGACAAACAATCCATCCATCTATCTATCCATCCATCCATCCATCCATCCATCAATCTATCTACCCTTGGCATCTAAACTTGACTTTGTGACAAACTTTAGATAAATCATTTATATTCCACATTCAGGCCTTTCTGTGTGGCGTTTGCATGTTCTCCCTGGTTTCCTCTGGGTGCTCCAGTTCCCTCACCACTAAAAATGTACAATAGGTCCGACAGGTGCCTGTAAGTTGATCATGTTCCCGTGTGTGGAGTGAGAGACAAAAGCCCACAACAACTACTTACAAATATTTACTATTTTATGTTATCAAGTGCAAGTATGATAATGTTAATAGACTGAATGGTCCACAGTGGAATAATTATCACGTAAGACTTGAGCGTCTGCCAACAATGTCATAAACATGCATCACTTTTCCTATAGACTGTTCTTTCATCACTCTCCTGTCCATCTGACATGGCCGAGAGGGCGCTGACTTCAAAGACCCCTGGACCCGGCTCTCCGGCGAGTCCTCGGCCTCCTGCTGGGAACAGGCTCTCTGAGGCTGCAGGGCGTTCTGCACCGGGCTATAAACTCTGTGTGATCAGAGACACGTTCATATGAAAGGCTCTGATGGATGAAGGAGGAGGCGTGCTTTAGTCATGACCAAAGAAAGCAGATTGATAGGTCAAGATGAGAAGAATCCAGCGCTGGTTCTGAAACCACAGTAGTATTGGATCGTTTGAGTGGACTGTCCTCATCACCTATTGAGCGACATTTTAGAACTACCGCACAATGGTAAAGACAGTCAGGGTATCTCACCTGACATTCAGGGCTTCTGACTTCACATATGCACATATAAACTCATCCAGATGCAAGGGCAGAGGATCATGGTCGAAGGGGACAGTAGAAAACAAGGTGTGACAAAACATTTGACCAAACTACTGGAGCTAATATGAGGACCACGCAGCAATCACACTTTAAAAGAAACAGCATGTCTCCTATTTTACTGTTTACCAAAACTACTTTAAATGCAATACTTGAGTGTGATGTCATAGCGGTACAATGACACTATTACGCGACTGAGACGGGAGCTTTTAGAAAGAAGGAGTGTAGAGAAGTGTGCCAGGTGCTGGACATGAATCAATCTAAAACAAACTTCAGGTTTGCTTTTGGTGATGGAA